GTTCTTGCTCAGGCTGGTTTCGAACTCCTGAGCTCAAACAATCCGCCCACCTCGGCCTCCCAGAAAGCTAGGATTACAGGCATGAGCCACCACGCCCGGCCTAGTGGGTTTTTTTTGTTTGTTACTGTTTTCTATTCTTTTTATTGTGTTATATTCATTATATTGTTGGTTATTTTGGGGGTATTTCCCCTAATATTTTGATCCTTGGCTGATTGGATCAATGGATGCAGAGGGCAGACTGTGTATCTATAAATGCCTATAGAGAAAGGATCAAAAGCAGACAGTTTGGCGCCTGTGTTGCATCTACAAAAACCCGGAAGGAAAGGCACAAAAATTCATCTGTGTCACTGTCAAAATTATATAGCTGGTAGTGTCCTTTTCCTGGGTCGGGTGGGGGGAACCTGCCAAGCTCAGGTCTCAGGCTTTATAGAGATCAACAAGATTTGGATTCTAGTGCTCCAGTCACATCTTAGCAATGACTAATTTAAGCTCGTGGTTTAGACAGCAAAGGTTCTAATTCAGAGACACCCGCTGTGAAGAGTATAATTTGTTTAATTATTACTGTCTTCTCCTGAAGCCAGATGGCAAAATCCAGGAAATGTTCAGAAAATGAGGCCCAGTTCACATAATAGCTAATCATGGGCAGGAGAACACATACGCATGCCGCCTTGGCCCTTTATTATCTGGCTACTCAGGGACCAGTGGAAATACAACCCCGATGGCACTCCTGGTGTCTTTCTGCTAATTCACAGCAGCCCCTGGGCTTCAGGCTCCTCCTCTGTGCAAGTGCATGTGGTTCTATAGGTCGTGCAGGTGAAGACACAGCCCTGGAGTCTATTTTCCCAGGTGTAGAACCTGGCAGCGCGATGCCTGCTGGACCTTCCTGCAGCCCTGCTGTTCTTACACAGAGTGTGCGAGGACAGCGAGGAGGAGGAGGTCACGCAGGCGCAGTGGGAGCAAGAGGAGCGGGAGGAGCGGGAGCAGCTGGAGTTTGCCCGAGCGAGGCTGGCCTACCAGCGGCGGCAGCTTGAGCGGGAGCGCATGGAGCGGGAGCGGCTGGAGCGCGAGCGCATGTACCTGGAACATGAGCGCAAACGAGAGCAGGAGCGCATCCACCGTGCGCGCGAGGAGCGGTGGCCCACGGGGCGGAGGCCCTACGACTTGGAAGGCTGGTAAGCTGACACCCCATCCGGTCGCCGTTAGGTGGCCCATGGGGGTCACACTTGTTTGTTGCACAGACCTTAGAGTCATAGTAGCATGAGATCTGTCTTTAAAAGGAAGCAGAGGTAGGTACATGGGCCTTCTGTACTCCAGCAGGGATGTGGAGATGGCTGGATGTTGTGGTGCTAATGAGATCTTTGGGTTCTTGTCCAAGCACCAGGAGGAGCCCACAACAAATGCTGGAGGAAGGCTGCATCTTCTGGGTCCTGTCCGGGCTTTTTAATCCATTGTAATTTGTTTCTGCTCATTCTACTAATACAATCAATTGCCAATCCCCAAACATACTGATGAGAGGTACGCATAGAAAAATGCTACACGCCAGTCAGACGGGAACCTAAACTCAAACTTTGCTGTTGGGTATTGGGTGGATAAATCCAGCCTTGATCGTATCAGGCTTTCTCCATGCATCACTCTTTGGGACAAACTGCGCTATTTCTTTTTTTCTGCTGCATAAGTTAAAGAGGAATCCATGAAATCATTTCACTTGTGTAAAGGGTCATCTAAGCTGTTCTAGGATCATTTATGTCCTTCGGAAAACACTGAAGGTGAGACTCCATGGTGGTCACCTGTGTGCTGATACAGGATGTTTCAAGTGCTTCTGTCAGTGCCACCTTTGTGGGGCAATGAAACAGTATTGCGGTGGGAGGCATGGCAGGTGCGCGTAAAGAGCTGCTCAGGTTTGAGGCTTGCACTGGTTTCCCGAGAGGTGGCAGCTGTGTGGAGTTCCCCGAGCCTGTCTGAAGGCTGCCACTGCCCACTTCTCACTGTCCTGTTGGGTGTAGGTGGGGAGGGGGTGTGCCAGACAAAATGGAAATAGTCATTCAGGTCAAATCAGATGTCTAGGCTCATGTAGCAGGGAACACTATGGTGAAATTAATTCCGTTTCTGTGAAGTGCTGGGGCCAGGGACAGTTAGGGGCTATCTGACCAGCTCCCACAAAGGTCGTATGTTTGGAGGGGAAATGGCTTTACCTCTTTCCCGTGCCCCGTCATAGGCGAGATGATGCCTACTGGCCAGAGGCCAAGCGGGCTGCCCTGGATGAGCGCTACCACTCTGACTTCAACCGCCAGGATCGCTTCCATGACTTTGACCACAGGGACCGAGGCCGCTACCCCGACCACTCGGTGGACAGGTCAGTTGGGCCCCTGCCGACCCTGCCCACTTGGTGCAGGTCTTCTTTCTACTGGTTCATTCTCTGAGAATAAGGAGTGGCCTTTCTGGGCGCTGAGCCTTCGGTGCATGCAGTTGGCACTGAATCAGGCTCTGCATCCCCTGCATTCGGTTTGGGAAACGTTGCTTTTCATTTCGGGTCTGATGGGCCTCTCTGTTCACAAGCCTCTTCCTCTCCTTATGGCTTGATTTAAATTACCTTTTTCAGGAGAGAAGGTTCAAGGTCAATGATGGGAGAAAGAGAAGGACAGGTAAGTCAGAAGCTACAGTTGTAGCCACAGCTTTTCCCACAGCGTTGCTTCCTTTCCCCTCTGCTCACATCCTCCTTCCTCCCACTGGAGTGAGAGGAAAAGTGAGGGAAGGAAAAGCAGAGCACCTTTGTGTTTGGGATGAAAATGTGGGATGTTTGTGCTTGGTCTTGGCCTTGAATCCAGAGAGTTACTCTGAAGCCTCTTTTGGCCCAGACCCTGACTGAGTTTGTGTGTGCGGCGCTCACTGACCACACTGCGCAGTGCTGGCAAGCCTCGGGGTGGGGCTCGCCTGGCTGTGTGGGAAGGTGCCTGGTGAGCATGCAGCACTCGCGTGCTTCTGCGTCGTGGACTGGTCTGCTCCACGTGCGCCTAGTGAAGCTGTGGTTGGTGTGTCTGCTCCCAAGGGCCTTCCCTGTTTGTGTCTGAGGCAAGGAGAAGCCCACGCTTCACCTGGGCAGCCCAGGGCCCCACTCAGCCTTGGAAAACAACACAGTCTATGGCCACACTCGTTCCCGTTGCAGGATTAGCACATGAGAAGAACAAGCTCAATTTCATCTTTGTCTTCTGTCTCTTACATGTGGGTTGAGGATTTCCCAGCAAGAGTCTCAGATCTTTAGTGGGTTTACTTGAAAACGTGGGGACAGGGGGGAAGGCTGTGGTGAGGCCGTTGTGGCAGAGTTGATGCCTCTTGCCCGTTAGCTTTTCCTCAGCTCTAGCAGAAGCTTCACTTTTCAATCTCATCGTCCTCCCTCGATTACGTCATGTGGCTGGGGGTGCCCATGTTCCTGCCCTCTGTCTTGGGGATGCTCTTCTGCCTCGGGAGGAATTTCATGCCTCTCACGTGATTCCCTTCTCCCTGCTTCTGGAGGTAAATCTTACATTCCATGCAGCAAAACTAGACTAGTCTTCTGGATTTTCTTTGATGGAGCAGTGTGGCCCAGTGGTTAAAAACCCAGGTTGCAGTATCAGAGCTGGGGGTATAACTTGTCACCACTTCCTACTGAGACTGTTTGTCCAGCTGTGAAATGAGGGAAGTTATTCCTCCTGGGTAGAGTAGTGTAGGATTTACTTTGAGGTGGCGCACATGTTAGCATGAAGTGTGGGTGTAGCTGCTCTCCAGGGCTCTTGACCCGCATTGGCTGCTTTTCAAGAGGTTATCACATACTGTTGCTCTGAGTCTGAAAGGGAGTTGGGTTCTTTTTGCTCACATACCCAGTGATAAATAAGACATCGCTGCTGCCTCAAATGGCACATGGTGACATCTTACTGGAGAGAGAACCACCACAGAAATTTAGGTTTTGCATTATGTGGCTTGGTTGAACAGAAAACTGTTGGTTCATTGTTAAGATACAGGGGAGGGATGGAAGTGGCTAAATAGTTAAAGAACTAGGCCCCTACTTTGTGTCACAATGCTATTCAGTCTACTTCTGCATAGTTGTCCTTCTGTAAAATTAAATGAAGCTGTTTAAAGCCATCAGCTGTAATTTTTTTAAAAAATGAATATGCCTTCAAAATCATTTACAGAAATAGTATTTCTACTATCCTAATTATGAAGCTCTTCAATTTGGCTGTACTGCTTTGCACAGATTTTCATCTCCACACAGTGGTATCTGCTAGCCCTGGATAATTTTTTCCGCTTCACTTCGCACTCTTTTCTGTCAGATACGTTCTTCCGAGCAGGCTCATTTTTGGCCTAAAATATGATAGAGATAGAAATGGTTGGTGGACCAGGTCTCCTCCCTTGTACGCGTCATTTGGAGCCACGACAGGCAACAGGTGCCTCACCTTCTCTACGGAGATCATTCTTCCATGCACCTCCGTTCGTAGCACCGAGCCCCAGGACTGTGGGCGTTGGTTACCACCTTGGCCCCAACAACCTTCATGAAAAGGACATCCTTGATCTCTCTCACAAAGAACCACACAGCTTACTACAATTCTTAGCAAGTAACTGATAAGCAGAATCATTTCCACTGCTTGTTCTTTTTGTGCAAATTGTTATATTTCCATAGTTCATTTTTGAATAGGTTGTAATTACTCCTGACCTATCAAAACAGAATTGGTTTTGATACAAGATCAGTCGTCATAGTGCAGAAACAAACAGGCAAAGTTAAAAGACAGTTTACTCCACTCAAGACTTGTAACTAATGAAAAGTGCTTCCCGTTTGGATCATTTTCTCCACTTCCGCTGGAGCCAAGGCTAGGCGAGGGGCCGCCTACTCACAAGTGCACCTGCCTGTGCTGGCTCAGGCTGAGAACAGCTCTGACACAGATGAGGACTGTCAAGCACGTTCCCACAGGGAGGGGACTTCAATTCTGGCCAAGAGGGAAACCCAAGCATTACCTTCGTGCTTCAAACAACTAAAAGGCTGGATGAAACGTAGGCAAGAATGGTTTTCAGACACGGGACATCACCCTGCCCAAGAGAGCTTTGTTACCATCCCTGCTCTTTGACTGGAGTTTCCAGGCCATGGGCCAAGACACGTAAATGAGGCAGGCAGTATTCCTGAGCTGAGGGGACACAGCTGAGATTCTGAGACCAAGGCAGAGAGAAATCAGAGAGCTTGAGAGATGCACTCAGAGTTTTTCCTACCTGGTGCAGGTCTATGAGGAAATAAGACGCTGAGAGAGAACCAAGCATGAGGGGCAAAGGGAATAATGCCAGGGGTTCACTCAGGACTGATTGCAAACAGGTTGCTTTTCTCAGTAGCCAGAGTGGAAAGGCTGGTAATTCACAAGGTGTCATATACAGTACTCAGAGGGCATCAGCCTACTAATGGGACAAATTGAGCCTAAAGGAAACACTACGCTGTTCATGACTTACAAAGTGTAAAGCAAGCCTCAGAAGGGTCACATACTGTATCTGCTGGGACAGTCAGTGTTCCAGCTGAAATACAGACCGTTACAGGAAGAGCAAAAACATGTCAATATTGATAAATCAAGTTTTAACTTAAATCCCATATGTAACCTAACTAAAAATCTAACCTTTAAAAACACAAGCACAAGTTTCAGACAGTTAGATATATTTATGGCAAAGTAGTCCTAAGAAAAAGTGTTAAAAAAAAAAAAGGAAATTGTGAAAACTGCTGTCATTTCTTTTTAGTTTCAAAGCAGATATTCTCCATTGTCTGAATTTACCACTTCTTGAGATGAAAGGAATCCGTACAGTTTCGAGAATTTCTACAGTGTCTTTCAGAAACAGGCCCATTGCACAAGAGTCTGAAATTACATTGGACTTATCACTGTAAGATCTAACAAGGATGATGATAGCAATTAGGACAGTTACGGTTTCAAACTTTTATGGAATGTGATGCTTCCAGTAATAGCTGGTATAAACCATCAAAAAGAATGACATACCAGTACACATAGAACAGAGATGAACCTTGAAAACATTGTGTAAGTGATAGAAGCTGACAGAAAAGGCCACATAGCGTGTCATTCCATCTACATGAAATTTCCAGAACAGGCAAATCTATAATGACAGGGAAAGATGGGTTACCGCTAATGGGACAGGGTTTCCTTTTCAGGTGATGAAAATATGGAAATAGTGCTCGTGATCACACAGCCTTGTGAATATGCTAAAAGGCCCTGAATTGTATACTTTCCTCAGGTGAATTTAACAGTTTATAAATTTTATCTTAATTTCAAAAAACATAGTGGGGGCCGTGGGCAGTGGTGGAAGCCTTGCACTTCAGCAGGCTGAGGCAGAAGCATCGCTTCAGGCCAGGTTTTCGAGACCAGCCTGAGTAACATAGCAAGATAGCAAAACTCTGTCTTTCCAAAAAAGAGAAGAATTGGCTGTGCGTGGTTGGGCACGCCTATAGCCACAGCTACTCGGGATGCTGAAGCAGGAGGATTGCTTGAACCCAGGCATTTGAGGTAGCAGAGAGTTATGGATTTATACAAACACAACTGCTTTCTGCCCCAGGCAGTAGAGTATTACCCTGTATTCAAAAAAAAATCCTGGTAAAAAACTGGTTGAGTGTGTATACCCCAGCAGTCTATTGTGGATCCTAGAGAAGCTGTGTTGTATTCCATATCGGGCTGGTGTCATTTTCATAGGATTAAGACATTTTTGAACCAGGAAGGAAGCCAAGGAGGTGCATTTAGTTTCTCAGGCCAGTTGGGGCAGCTTTAAGAGTGTATCTTCCTCTAATTCTTTTTTAGTCCTGGTGAAAAAGCTGAAATACTTTTAGTATATTTTCATTTCATTTGGCACCAGTACATCTCTATTCTTGTCCACACCCTTGATTCTGCTACTTGTTGGGTGGTGAAGAGCAAGTCTAATTCTTAGAGGGGGGACACCAAGGGGCAGAGCTGTTCTCCTCCTGGCTTAGTGGGCTCAAAGAGTGCTACAAACACTGTTTCTTTAAGTTCTCTAAACACTCTAGTCCCAAGCAGCAAAAAGTAGAAGTGGGTTGTTGTAGCACTGTGGTCCCCAATCCCTGGCCCAGGAACCAGTACCAGTCTTTGGCATTTTTGGAAGCAGGCCGCACAGCCATGGTTGAGCAGTGGTCGAGGGTACCTCCTACCTCCATCTCTATTTACAGCCACTCCCCATCATTCACATCACCGCCTCAGCTCTGCCTACTGTGAGATGAGCAGTGGCATTAGATTGTCATGGGAGTGAGAAGCCTAGTGCGAACTTGGTGTGTGAGGGATCTAGGTTGCTCTCCTTATGAGAATCTAACGCCTGGTGACTCGAGGTGGAACGGAGGTGATGCTAGTGCTGGGGAGTGGCTGGAAATACAGATTAGCATTTAGCAGAGAGGTTTGATGGCACGTAGATTATGGTAAGTCTATTGCTCAGAGACTCAAATGAAAACCCTATCACTGAGTGGCAAGTGACAGCTGAGCTGCATCTGGTGGCAGGCTTTAAGTTAGAATCTCTGACACTTCAGTTTGCACGTGGCCTGCCCATTGTTTTATTTACTGCTTCCCCCAGTGCCTCTTTCCCGCACTGCACACTTGTCTCAGCAAAAAGATTGGTACGGGCCGGGCGCGGTGGCTCACACCTGTAATCCTAGCTCTCTGGGAGGCCGAGGCGGGCGGATCATTCTGAGCTCAGGAGTTCGAAACCAGCCTGAGCAAGAGCGAGATCCCATATCTACTAAAAATAGAAAGAAATTAATTGGACAACTAAAAATATATAGAAAAAAATTAGCCGGGTTTGGTGGGGCATGCCAGTAGTCCCAGCTACTCGGGAGGCTGAGGCAGGAGGATTGCTTCAGCCCAGGAGTTTGAGGTTGCTGTGAGCTAGGACGCCACGGCACTCTAGCCCGGGCAACACAGTGAGACTCTGTCTCAAAAAAAAAAAAAAAAGATTGGTAAGCCCACAAGCTCACCCTAGCAAAACATGACTCAACAAACGTTGCTGGAAAGCTTCTTTGAAAAGGGGCAAAGGCCTAATGATGAGACAGCAGAAGACTGGCTCTATAAGACTGCCAGGAAAACGAAAGCTCCATTTCAAAGAAAATACCAAGAGTCCTACTTAAATTATGGGTTTATTGCAACACATGAGTCACGTTCTCTGAGTCTGCTTTGTATAATAAGTGGCCATAGGCTATCTAACAAATCCGGGAAAGCTTCAAGACTGTTTTGCCACATAGGGACCAAGCACTCTGCATTAAAAGACAAGCCTTTGGAGGTTTTCAAAAGAAAAAAACGTGAACAGTAAGAAGAGAAGCAATTATTGAAGGCCACCACTTCATCAAATGCGTGTGCACAGAGAGTGGCTAACCACGTTGGTAAAGCTAAGAATGAGAAGCTCTTTACTATTGGTGAAGAGTTGATCCTGCCTGGTGGTAAGGACAGTTGCTATGAAATGTTAAGAGAGCCTGCAGTTCAAAAGGCGACAGAGGTTCCTCTTTCAGGTAGTACCATAACTAGACACAGCGATGAAGTAGCAGAAGGATCTGGAGGCACAATTGTTAGAGAGGATTAATGAGTCACATGGCACGCAACCCAGGTTGACTAGTCTACCAGTTTTGATAAAAAGGCAACAATGATTGTTTTTGTGCCATATATTTTTTGGGAGGATGTGCGTGATGGCATGTCCACTTTTGTTGCCAACGAATACAACAGCTGCAGAAGTATTCAACTCTGAATGATCACGTATGAGGAAAACTGAATTGGTCAATTTGTGTCTGTATACGTATGGACAGAGCAACAGCCATGACTACATGGCTTAGTGGTTGCAGTATTCAGTCAGGGAGGTCGCTTCTGAATGCGAGTCTTCACATTGTGTCGTGCTTAGAGAACTGCTGGCTAACCAAAAAATGTCACTTTAAGTAAATGGCCTTTTCCAGGATGTCATTAAAATTATTAACATTAAAGTACATGCACTTAGGCCTGTTCGGACAGATCTGTGTCAAGAATGGCTGCAGAGCACACACATCGAAACACAGAAGTGAGATGGCTTTCTAAAGTAGATCACAGGCCAGGGTTTTTGAGTTACAAGAGCCGCTCCAGAGATTTGTTGCAGAAAAAGTCACCAGTGGCAGCACATTCCAGTGACACAGAATGGCTTGGGACACTTGCTTATATGATACTTTGAATGTGCTCAACAAAATCAGTATGTCCCTTCAGGGCAGAAAGACAACTGTGTTCAAGTCAGCAAATAAACTGGCTGTATTCAAAGCCACGCTGGACTTATGAGGGCAACGAATGAGCATGTGCATTTTTGACACAATTCAAGCATTAGAGATTTTAAAAGAGACTCAGCTGTGGTGTTCATTCTCCAAGGTACTACCTGATCACCTATACCACCTTCAAAGGAATTTGAGCATTACTTCCCAATCACAAAAGACCCCCAAACTGAGAAGGAACAGAACCATCACCCATTTGTGAATAAGCCAGGTGAATGGACTTCGTACTAGAAGAGGATCACCTGCTTGAGATCACAAATGATGGTGGCCTTAAAAGCATGTTTGAGAGAACTTTAGTAGCCACAAAAGCACTAAAAAGCCTGCTTTCATTTCTGACATCCTGTGTTTGTGAAGCAGGGTTTTCTACAGTGACAGCAACCAAAACTGTCTGCAATGGGCGGGCCCCAAGTGAGACCGTCCAGTTGCAGGAAAACAAGCTCAGGGCTTCCACTGATTCTACATTATGGTGAGTTGTACAGTCATTTCATTATATACTACAATGTAATAATAATAAAGTGCAGAGTAAATGTATGGGCTGGAATCATCCTGAAACCACACAGCATCCCACCCCACCCCCATCTGTGGGAAAATTGTCTTCAGTGAAACCAGTCCCTGGGCCCGAAAAGGATTGGGGCCACTGATGTGGCACATCTCTTTATTGTCTGTCTCCTTGTGACTTGTAACGTGATGCCACTTTCCTCAGGATTTGCCCTTCCTCCTTAACCACCTGTTAGGAAGAAATGAATTTTTACAGTGTTATTAAGATGAGGCATGGCACACACTGCTCTTTGCAAGTAACAACTTCCTGGTAAACAAAGGCAAATGCACTCTTGGAAACACCAACTCTGGTTGTATTTGTGCTGCAAGCCTGAAAAGGGGTAGGATGAACCCAACACAATGGGGTACCCTATTGGCCCAAATCCCAAAGGAAAGGAAGGGAAACCATTAGCCGGTACTTGTGAATTGGGATCCATGTCCAGTTGCAAAACAAGCACTAATTTGACACTGCCCAATGATAACAGAGAGACTGCTGGGGAGGCAAAAGGTGAGCGACATCTGGGAAGGAAGCAGCAGCCTGTGTATGGAGAGATTGGTGGTTCCAATCAACAGGTCTTTCAGTGCCTTCCACCTGTGTGAAACAGGACTGGACACACAAGGTTGTTAACGAACTCACAAGGGGGGTTCAGTGTTGCCCGCGGCACAGAAAGCTAATTACTGAGAGAGCCAGGAGAGTTGAGGAGGAAAGGATTTATATCCATGGACCTCTCAAGACGAAGGGGGAGGTACCAACTGCCTCAAATCCACCTGCCCAAACATCGGTCAGGTTTTTTTCTGCAGGCGAAATGAGTAATGCATGACAGCTGTGAGCATCATTGTACCTCTGGGGTGCACTATCAGTTACCTTGTCTTCGCTGGACAAGCAGGTGGTGTAAGGCTTTCTAGCAGGTCCCACCGTTCCTGGGAAAGAAACTCAAAAGAGAATGAATCAGTATGACGAAACTTAAAAGTTGTGGTCAGCAAATTTTGCTAGAGTTCTCTCTTTTCTGCTTAATTGAGACTGTAGCCGCTGAGATTAGCAAGGCTGGGATAAATACTGCTATCAAGGCCACTTAGAGCTCCCAGCCGAAGCCATAATGTGAACAATGTGAACTCATCTGAAATGTGGGGGGACTAAAAACATTGACTAAACGTTTCCCTGCTACACAACCGGTTACAAGATGTCTACCCTCGCAAAGCTTGCTCCAGTGGAGGAGAGACAATCCCCACGGACACAAGTGTGTCAAGTATTGCACGGTGGAGTGTAAACACAGGATGGTGCCACAGACAGGAACAAGGAGATGGCGCAGCACTTCAGGGAGACAATGTCGCAGTTCTAAAGTGACGCCTGCCGAGGGGAAGACCTAGGGGACCAGCAGTCCCAGTGAGTGGCCAGCACAGTAAGTGCGAAGGCCCTGGGGCAGCAAGGACCGCCCCCCTTTACTGCAAATTCTCAGTGGTTCTTCAGGCACACATTCTCCAGAGGAGGAAAATGAACAGAGAAAGACACCTGCCCAAGGTCACGGAGCCAAATCTGGAACTGGGTCGAACAGCCACCGTGGTAGCCAAGAAGACTTTTAAGGGCACTGAGGGGAATAGCTGCAAGGAAAGTAAGAAGCGAGGCACAGACAGGACCAGTGACTACCCAGGAGCTCGGGCCCCGGGCGGTCAATAGCGGGGCGGGCCGGGGGCGCCCTGCGTCCCGGAAGCGCGGTGACAGGCCCGCGCTGGAACGTCCCCGGGCCTCCTGCGCCACCCCCGACCCTCAGCCCATCTCACCTTGAGCCGTTCCATCTGGACGCTCTTGTTGCCGCCAGTGTCCAGGTTCCGCTTCTTAAGCTGCGCCTGCAGGGTGCTGAGCCGCCGCGTCCCGGTCTCCGAAGCGCCTGAGCCAGGGCCCGAGTCGCCCGACCTTGCGACAGCCTCCGCCTTCCTTGAGTGCCCGTCTCCGCCACCGATTCCAGCGTCGGATGTAGCGGCTCTGAGCACAAAATGGCGCCGCCTAAGAGGAAAACGCATTGGCTTTCTCCCACCCCGCTTTGCGTGCGCGCTCGCGTGACGCCCAACAGCACGTCCCGGCGACTACGCGCAGGCGCGGTAACTACAGCAGGCAAATATCGCGGCGGGAGCCTGTTACGGCTTAACGCGCCTGTGCAGAGCCTTCCTGAGCATGTCATTGCGCATGTGCAGATGGGGCCTGGCGAGTCCGACGGCGCCGGGTGCGCTTGCGCAGGACCGAGGCGCGCCGGGGCGGCTGGAGCGGTTCCCTTGCAGGCGGCGCCATTTTGTGCTAGGAGCCGAGCTAGAACCGGGCCGGTTGTGTGCAAAGTGGGCGGCGGAGCCAGGGTCCCTGGAATGGCGGAGATTCTGTCAGGCCCAGGAGATTCGGGTGCGGCGGGCGCAGCGGCTCTGAGCTCCGCTTCGTCGGAGACCGGGACGCGGCGCCTGAGCGATCTGCGGGTGATAGACTTGCGGGCGGAGCTGAGGAAACGGAATCTGGACTCGAGCGGCAATAAGAGCGTGTTGATGGAGCGGCTGAAAAAGGTGGAGCCGGGGTCCCGTGGGTCGGGGTAAAGCGCGGGTGAGGGGTCCCGGCGGCCGCGACTCTGGTCCCCTGGCCTGGGTCCGCCCCCGGCCCCGTTCGCGGCCTGCCAGGGCCTGGCTCGCTTGCGCCTCCCGGCTCTTCCCCAGGCCCCGGCGGCAGCTCCGAGCCTGGCCCGGGCGCGCGTTCAAACCCTGGGGGCGAGGAGAAGAACGGAAAAACGGGACGCGGGCGGGAGACGCCGTCGCGGTCCTCGGCTGCCAGTGACGGGTGACAGGGGCCCCTGGGTGGAGAGTTCTCTTCTTGTCTCATACCAGTCTCCGTAACTAGGCCGGGGACCCCGAAATCCTCCCTTCCCAGGCGAGGTGAAGGGACTCGGCCAAGGTCACACGGCCGGGGACAGGCGGAGTCGGGATTTGAACCTGGCAGTCTGATTCCTGAGCGGGAGCTGGGTTTCCTTTCCTTAGATGCTCCCGCACACCTTGTGGTTGGCTGGGGGTGGGGGGCCATGACCTGGAGTACAGGGTTCATACGCAAAATAAACAGCTAAAGAAAATTCGTAAGGGAAGGAAGGCGTTAAGAACGAGTCTTAACGATTTTCTGGCCCCAGTCTCTTTGAAATAATATGTCAGGAAGGGAGAGGAGTTGTGGACATTAGCGATCATAAATGAAAATTACGGTTAGATCCTCGTTTCCGCAGCGCATACACTGAAATGGGAACGACACAGAGAAGATTAGCAGTATTAAATTTATGTTTTTAATAAAATGATTAAAAATTTTATTAAGTAAAATAAAATACGGTTAGACTCAGGACTTTTCAAAATCGGCTTCAGAACTTCATCCACCAAGAAGCAGAGAGTGGGCTTCCCGGGTCAGTTGGTCTGGACTCAGGACTCTGCCAGGTCTCAGTGGCCTGATCTATGGCATGGAAGACTTTTAACACCTTCTAAATCTGTTTGTTTCTCTGTGAAAAGAAGCAACCATGAGTGTTTTGGTTTCGGGATTTAATAAGGTTGCATGGAACAGGCTTGGCATGCTGCCTGGCACTCAGCGAATCGTTGCTATGACGATTCACTTTACCTCTCTGTGCCACCAGGATTCATCATTTGCAGATGAGGGGCTGTAACCCAAACCTAGAGGGATTCTGACAGATCTCTTGCAAAGTGCTGAGTCAAGTAAACGTTAGCCGCCATCTGCTTCCCCTACAGTTTGCTTATTCCTGTAGGTTTCTTTCTCCGTCTTTCTCTGCATTTCTCCCTTCTAGGTACTCGTCTCTGGAGACCTCTTCCTCGTAATCTCTCATGCTGGCCACTGAGGGTAGGACTGGTGACTCATTGTACCCTCCTAGCTCCCAAAGAATCGTCCATGGGGCCTTGTTAATTCCTATTGAGAGGAAGGAGGAGACATTGTTTGTTGTCAGGCTCAGACACGGCTGGCTCGTCAACTTGCTCAGAGTCACTCGGACCTTTACAAAACTCAAGCTTGTGTTTCTTTCACTATGGATACTAGCTCTCTTTACTTAAGACAAGCAGGAGGTTGCTGGATGCAGACATTTACCCGGAGGAAATGCACGGAGTGGGGATTGGTGGCTGGACAGGTGTGGTCCCTGTTCTGAGCCGCCAGGGGTCCTCATGCACCAAACCAATTTGAGGGGCTTCATCCTCTCCTCCCCTTCCTACCCCCCAAACAGCTCGTAGGCATCCAAAGCTGCTTTGATGGCATGTACCCTTCCTGTTAGGCTGGTGGCTGAGACTGGTGTGTGACTTGAGGAATCCTCAGTCACTGTCATCTCTGACAACACAAATCCATTCCTCTTCCTTCTCGCTCTTTTCAGTTTCTTAACAGTGTGATTCCAAAACACAAGTGCCAGCAACCCGTATGTCCAAGTAGCTCTGTAACTCTTATCTTCCTCTCCGACGTCTGTAATGTACTTGGTGTCCCTTTCTTAGTTCATATTTCCAGGAAGGGCAAAAAGCAAATGGTGGGATTAGGACACTTTTCCGTCTGTGTCATTTCTTCTCCTCTCCTGGTGATATCTGAGGATTTTCTGTCCCCAGGAAGAGGGTGAGGGAGTTTGTGGTTGCGCTTTTCCTTTTATCCCAGGACAGAACTCCAATTTCTCCACCAGCTTCCAAGAGGAGTGGAGATTTTCTTTGGTGCTAGTACAGATTAGGTGTGTAACTCCCAGGCCCAGTTCTAAATTCAGACTTCCCAAGCTGGGAAACTTTGAGACTTCTGAAGCTCAAAAAAAAAAAAACCACAGTATTTGAAATGGATTTAAAGCAATGGTCTGAAACCTATGGTGAGTTGAATAATTATTTCATTATCTGTTACAATGTACTAATAGAAATAAAGTGCAAATTATCAGTAGAAGTAAACTTGAAGCCCAGTTTTTAGGGAAGTCATCATCAGTGTCATGTTCAGTACTGATTTGCAGAGGTACCTGCTTGGTGGCAGGCACTGTGCTGACTGTGGGAACTGTTTCCAGTGAATGACAAGTTCTTTCTGTGGGAGGCAGGGTTTGCCAAGAAATCGTTATTCAGTGTCCTATGAGGCAGGGTCACCTAGTAGTTGAAAGTGAGGTCTTTGGAGTCAGTCGTGGATGTATGTGATGGCAGTTGGCTGAGGCATTGCATGTCATGCCTGGTCCCACGCCTGTCACAGTAGGAACCCAGCCAGTGAGTGGTGGCATCTACGCAGACAGTACTGAGTGCAGGCATGGCATGGAGGGGTCACTGGAGGCTTACACGGCACTGTGCTGGGCAAAGTCATAGGAAGTTGGAGAGTGTGCCTTTCCCTTTTTGAGTTCTTTTGGTGCCAGGAATAGGATGGACCACATAAGCCCTAGTATCTGGTAAGTGCTTGCTTTATATGCATGGTAGAGTCCTCACAACAACCTTCCAGGGTGACTACTATTAATATTATTAGCCCCCTGTGCCGGAGGAAAGAACAAAGAGCAATTAAGTCATCCTGCCTAAGACTACACAGCTAAGAACTGGTGGAGTCGGTCTGACTTGAGCATAGAGCAAGAGAACAGATGAAAGGGTGGGCTAGATGCCCAGTGGGGGAAGGCATTTCCAGATCAGGAGCAGCTGTACGCTCTAAAAGATACATGTCCCTTCTCACCTGAAGGTTCTGTGAAAGTCAGGCTCTGTGCTGACTTTGGTCAACTTTACATGTCCCTTCTGTTTAGGCAATTGAAGATGAAGGTGGTAATCCTGATGAAATTGAAATTACCTCTGAAGGAAACAAGAAAACATCAAAGAGATCCAGCAAAGGTATGGTGCATTTCATAAGCATGTGTCATATTAAGAGCTTTCTTGAAAACTACTTCACTAATGTTCCTCACTTACTTGGCTGTGTTTGGACGTGGGCACCACCCTGTGAATCAAGAGCCTTCAAAGAAGCTTTGCATTATTTCCTTGACGATCCCTCTCCTGTTTTGTTAGCTTGGTCCAGTGGAGGATGGAAGGGATATTTGCCCCTTTGTTCATTTACTCTGTAGGTTTCTCAATAGTCCTTGTTAAAGTTCTTTAGGGAGAGAGTATCGGGCACTGCTTGACTCTCCTATTGGTCTGACATGCAGAAAATGACTTCCCTGTTAAATACCACCTGGCCAAGACAGAATTGTCACTTACACAATGTTTCTTTGAAAAACTGCCCACAGAGTAAAACTTGCATTCCATGTGACATTAATGACTGCCACCATCTTACCCAGATCTATCTTTCTTACTCCCCACGCCCATGCCCTGTGATTCAGTCAGGCCCCAAAAACATGATTCACCCCCTTTGACTTCTGTGCCTTGGCTTATGTGCTCCGCCCACCCTTCTTTCCCATCTGTCTGTATTCAAGGCCTCCTTCACGTCGTTCCATCTATAGCTCCTCAGCTGTCCTTCAGTCCTCTGCACTCTCAGCCCCTAGGTCCTTATGCCTTGATTTGAGATTGATGTTGTCCCCCCTTCTGTCATGACCAGATTGTCAAGGGCAGGGCCTGTGTCTTGCTAGTCTATCGTTCCCTCTCAGCAGTTTAACGGATTAACATGCAACTACTATTTTAAGAAAGAATCAGCCAAAACTGTGCATTTGGGTCATTCTGAATGTTTTCTTGGTATAGGTTGAGCATCCCTCATCTGAAATGCTTGGGACCAGAAGAGTTTCAGATTTCAGATTTTTTCAGATTTTCTACTTTTATTTATATATGTAACGAGGTATCTTGGGGATGGGACCCATATCTAAAGATGGAATTCATTTATGTTTCATGTGCTCCTTATACACACAACCTGAGGGTAATTTTATACCTTTTGGGGGGTTGGGGAGACAGTCTCGCTCTGGGACCTGGGCTAGAGTACAGTCATGTCATCATAGCTCACTGCAACCTCCAGCTCCTAGGCTCAAGTCACCCTCCTGCCTCAGTCTCCCCAGTAGCTAGGACTACAGGTGCACGCAATCACACCCAGCTAATTTTTCTAGTTTTATGTGGAGATGGGGTCTTGCAGTTTTGAGGCTGGTCTCAAAAT